TTTGAGCCACGCAACTTCGAGCCTACCAAGGCAGCGCTATGTCTCGAGACGTGCGGACTACCAGCATCCAAGTTCCCAAAGATGATCTGGCCTACAAACTACGGCAAACTAGCGTGTGCCACCATGTTCACGTTGTTCTGGGCTGGCAAGAAGTACGCCCCCAGTTGCTACGTGGACGGCGTACAGATCCAGGAGTATCTCCAGTCGCACTACTTGGATTCACTAGTGGCACTTGCCGAAGCTTTGAAAGGCTTGACGAATGTTGTGGGTTTTGGCACGATGAACGAGCCTTCCAGTGGGTTTATTGGCGTCAATGACCTCAATAAACCCGTGGGTATTATTCAAAACGGTTACGCACCCACTGCGTTCCAAGGTATGACGTTGGGTGAAGGCATTGCTCAAGATGTGGACGTGTGGAACGCAGGGCTCATGACTATGATTCGTGGCAAACCGTCTAAAGTGGAAAAGGTGGATCCTCAGGGTGTGCGAGCGTGGAAAGAAGGCTTCGGATGTGTCTGGAAAGAGGCGGGAGTGTGGGGTTTCGACGCCGAGAACAAGCCTCAACTGCTCAAGCCTGATTACTTCAGCGACGTGGACTTTGGCAAGGACTTTTACGTTCCGTTTGCCAAGAAATTCACCAAAAGACTGCAGAATGTGTTCCCGAACGCCTTGATTTTCGTTGAAATGCCACCTGTGGATTTTGGAGACATGGAGTTCCCTCAAATAACCAACGAGGATGTCCCGAATGCAGTAAACGCCATGCACTGGTACGACGGCATCACTCTCCTCACCACGACGTGGCGCTCGTACTTCACTGTGGACTTTGCCACCGGTAAACCTGTGTTCGGTAACAAGGCTCTACGTAAGGTGCACCGGCAGCAACTGGCCCATGTCGCCAGCTTCGGACGTAAGAAGATGAACAACGCGCCGACGTTGATCGGAGAGACTGGCATTCCCTACAACATGAACGAGGCCAGAGCGTACATCAGTGGAGACTACTCGGCTCAGATTGAGGCGATGGACAACACCATCTCGAATCTCGAGTCCCAGTTGCTGTCGTACACTTTGTGGAACTATACTGCTGACAATTCCCACGAGTTCGGAGACTTGTGGAACCTGGAAGACCTGAGTATCAGCAGTCCGGACTCTGAGGCGCTGGCTATTCGTCTTGCTGGCGGCCACACCCGACGTCGTGATGATCCTGCTCGTGGCTTGAAGGGGTTTGCTCGTCCGTACGCTCGCAAGATCACTGGTGTCCCTCTCAAGTCGACGTTCACTATGGCTACAGCTGAGTATGTGTTGGAGTACGTGTCAGTGAACACAGAGACCTCAGCGCCTACCGAGATCTACGTGCCATACGTGCACTACCCGGGCGGCTACCGAGTCACCTCGTCCGATGGCCACTGCACCATCAAGAAGCACGAAAACTACGACATTGTGACGTACGCTCACGACGTCAAGGCGCACAAACATCGCGTCATTGTCTCGCCTCGAACTCCCGTTGGTGGAGACCCGAAACGCGCCAACGCTCCGCTGTACATCGCCCTGGCCGTCACTGCTGTAGCTGTCCCGCTGCTCACTCTGTACAAGCGTAGATAAGCGCAGTTATCGAGGTAGACAGGCTGCTCCACAATGAGGATGAAGGCTACGCATGCGAATAAAAAACATGTACGTAAACGCTCCCTGTGTACGACCATGTTACCTTCTTCTGTATAGTTTTCACAAACTATTCATCCACGATCATGTTCTCCGCGTCGTCCTTGTCACCTTCACTAGACATGGTATCTTCGTCCTGCTGCACAACTTCTTGTCCCTTTTTGGTAATGAGCTCGAGCATATGAGCAGCAAAGTCGTCCAGTAGCACAGGCCACGCTCCGTTCTCGTCGTAGTTGCTTAGATCAGGCTTAATCTGGTGGCCAAAGTCGAGCACCTGGAGCCACAGGTCCTTCGACACGACGCTGCGTGAGTTCTCACGGACATATTGCAGCCAATGACGGCGCCAGTGGAAGTGTCCAGGCAGCAGAAGGTCCCAGAGACCGATCGCCAATTCCAGCGCCAAGCTCTTCTGCGTCGGATCCTTCGAGAACCCAAACGTGAACTGCGTATCCATACAAA